TTGCAGAGCAGGCTGAGTGCAGTCTGTGGCCAGTGGTTGAGCAACGGCATTGGCCAGTCCCACTCGCCCCTGAAATCCTGATTTCATCAGTTCGGCCACTTCTAAAAAAAAAAAAAATCGCAGTTGGTATCAGGCTTGCCCACACTTTGAACTTTGCGCAAACCATATTTTTAGGAAAGCCAAAAACAGAGAACGCCAGGAGAAAACTCAGCTAACAGATCACATGCAAATGTCATTTTTATTCCATTTGTCCGTGCTTCTGATTCTAACTGGCCTGGAGGTTTGATTGGCAGAGGGAATTTGCCTCATTTTGTTTAAAAAAAAAAAAAAAAATTTTTTTTTTGTTTGTTTTTTTCCCCAAATGTCACATCTTGGAACCAGGAATGAGGATCTCTAGCCATAAAAACAAAAGAGGCCTGGAATAGATTCAGAACACGTGTTCTGAAAACAGAGTTGGATACTTGAGGGGCCATCACGGATTATGATCTCTAAATGTAGGTGTTTTCTGTGATTGAACACTAGCCCTTCCTGAATTCTGTGCTTGTGCATTTGGTTTTGGAATCTCTCTATTAATCTGTTCTTCTCCACGTAACTACAAATGACGTCTCGGTCTCTCTAATTTGACTTCATTCCTGTTACCATCCAAGTTCCTGCAAGCAAAAATAAAACCCAAAGGAAGCAGATCTTTTTATCCATCTGTTAGGACAACGAGGAAATAACGTTCATCTGGTTTTCTAAAGTAATTGCTTTCCCCACATTAGAATCACAGAAGAGAGAGCCTATTTGGGGTTGACACAGAGAGAAAAACTTTAGTGAAGACGTTGCAATAAAGAAAGGACTGAATTGGAAATGATTTCAGGGCTTGTGTCGTCCCACAAGGTGATTCTCTGAGACACAGCGTTGGAACAGGACTTAGGGAAACTGCTCCCTCCATCATCACCAGTGTGTCTCTCCATTCGTTTGGTAGATGTTATTTGCATGCTTGGACACTGGGATAAGACGACCAGACAGCCTCCTTACCTACAGGGGGGCTCACCATCTGCGAAGTCCTGTGGTCATCTGGCGTCTCCCAGGAAAGAGTGGGCGGCGCCATTATTGCTGGGTGTTCATGCTGCTTGAAATGTTTCTAGAGTGTTTCTGTCTGTTCCTTAGTGAATTGGTCAGTTGACTGGTTGATTACCTCTCTGGCGCTCCCATGCCTTGCCCATCATCTCCTTTTCCCACGTCACTTGGCTTTTGTGGGGTGCTGTGTAGACAGAAGAGCTTTCTGCCTGTGCTTCGAAGCCCAAGGTGATGTGAGTCTGTTGGGATTCCCCTGGGGGACAGGAAGATCAACGGAGACACCAGGGATTCCTTCAGGAGACTTGTACTTGTGGTGTGTGAATGTCCCTTGCGTGCGCAGCCACCTAGTGTGTACGAGCCCAGTGAGGAGAGTGGAGATTGAACCACGAGTCACTGGAGAGTGAAACCAGTCCCGTGCTGGGGGCAACCAGGAACGAGGGCCCTGTGTGAAGGGCCCTGTGAGCAGAGAATGTGACCCAGAGAGAGAAATCCAGTGCTGTCCCAGGGCTCATCATGAACAGATGGGATCTGGAAATAAAGCCACCACCTCTCAGATACGGAAACCGCATTTAGGCGTGGGCCTGGCCGTCTCCACACCCAGATCAAAAATGTCGATGTGAATTCGAGCAGTGTGCATGGGATTTCCAGAGCATTTGCTCTGTGTGTGTGTCTGTATGTGTGTGTATATATATATATTCTTTTTCCTTTTGGCCCTTTGGTCCTTTCCGCCCTATCACAGGGTGTTTGGGCTGCTGAGCGGCATTCACCATGGCCTTTCCTGGGGACTTTCCTCTTTAGATTCGTTTCGTTTGGCTTCGCTGCCCTGTTGCAGACCTTTCCCCTCCCGTTGCCCCCACAGCGGCCAGGCCCATGAGGAAGAACGGCGTGGCGCGGGGTCCAGCCCCGGAGCGGGTTGCAGGGCTCGGGGAGTCTCCAGTGCGTAGAGCCCGCCAGACCTCCCTCCTCCTGGACCTGCAGGAGCAGCGTTCCCCATGGTAACATGTCATTCCATTGACCTTATACTTGAAGATTCAAAAAAGCGGAGGGCGGGGGATATATGTACATTAACACGGAGAGCGACAGAGATGCATCTAACACATCCACAGCAGACGCACGTGCGCGCGCGCGCGCACACACACACACACACACACACGTTCTCTACTGAGTAGTCATTGGGAACCTATTAGAAACAGATCGGAATATGACCCTACCAGAACCTCAGGTTCCCACCTGTGGTCCTTCTTCTTGTGACCCTGATCTCCTGAATCCCTAACTAGAGTAAGAAAAACCCACTAGTGGTTTTATGCCTTTGACTTTGTAAGTTTGGTGGCGTGGAGGAGTAAAGAAAAAAATAAGGGGGTGGGGACAAGGTTGGCGCTGAAATTGCTGTGGTAACGTAAGTCTAACTGGAGTGCAGTGTTGGGGTGCAGCGCATTGCTAGGACCAGGAGAGACCATACAGCATGCATGCCTCCCCTGGGGAACAGTCCTGCAAAGGATGCCCCGCCGGGAAGACAGGAAGGACCTTGTGCCTCACAGAAGCCGGGACGTGGCCCTTGGGCAGACTCTGCAGCCCATCTTTTGCGCCAAGTCCTTATTTCCCATCTGTGGCTTCTCTTGTGTTTCTGGGCACATCTCTGCACATCCTGTCTCATGCACTCTGCAAATAGAGCTCCTTTTTCATTGAAGTATGAAATGTGAATCCAGATGGCCAAAAGCACTTAGATTTAAGCGATACATTGTAGCTAATTGAGTTGTGAGTGTCTGTGAGGTGGTGGATATTTAGTAAGTAAGCGGCACTAGGTGCTTTCCTGCAGGTCTGTGGGTGCCGTATTTCAAGCGTGTTCGTAGGAGAGGTGAAAACCTGCAAACGTGGCTCAGCTCTTTGAAATGAAATATTGGGGAGGCGTTTGTAAATTGTCGTGGATTAGGTTTTTTTTTTTTAAGATTTTATTTATTTATTCATGAGAGACAGAGGGGGAGAGAGAGAGAGAGAGAAGCAGAGGGAGAAGCAGGCTTCCAAGGAGCAGGGAGCCCGATGTGGGACTCGATTCCAGAACCCTGGGATCATGACCCGAGCCGAAGGCAGACGCTTAACCATCTGAGCCACCCAGGCGCCCAGTGAATTAGGTTTTGTGAGCTTAAGAGGCCCAGTGGCTGAAACGGAAGGGGGCCGTAAGGGCATTCATTCCCCCGCAGCAGGTCAAACCTACCCGTCGCAGCAAGACACCTGAGCTGTGAGTTACGAGTCGCAAACTGCGTTCTCAGCTCGGCAGAGTTTAAATGCAATTAGTAACCAAACAGCTGCTTGACTCTGTTCTCTGAACATCCGTTGCGATGTTCATGTTATTTTGAAAACTTCTAGTTTCTTTTAGTATGTACCCGATAGGTATTTTTTTCTGAAATATCTAACTTCCTGGAACCGGGTTAATATTTTAAGCTCTTGTGCGTGGCTGTCTTGCCACCATGTGTCTTCTAAGCTGAGGCGGTGCGTTCAGCGTCTTGCCAGCAGACAAGACAGCCCTTTCTCTGGGCCCCGCTGGGACTTGAGCTCCCGTGTCCTCTTCCAGATACGGAGAGCTTCTAGCTTCTAGCTTCTAGCTTCTAGCTTCTAGGTGGGGCAGGGTCCGGCTGTGTCTGGCTGTGCTCCCCGCAGCGCAGGGTGGGGGGCTGGCCCCAGCTGGCTGACCATGGGGTAGGGGAGGGAATTGGGCATGGTCTGGGTTCTGCTCTTGAGCATCTACTAAACCTGGAGGAGCCCGTTCTCCCGAGGACATGGTCAGAGGGACGTGCGCAGGGCACTGGACTTACAGGACAGCAGCCTGGGGGTTGGAGGGTGCAGGTTGGGACATCTGTAACACTCAGGCGAGGCATCCTGTCTCAGGAGGCCGGCTCACTCCTGGGTCGCAAGGCGGGTGCTGGAATGAGGCTCCTGCCCTGGGTGTCAGGAGGAAAGCCTTATCTGCTTGTTACTTAGTAGGTTACATCTCTTCTGGGTTGCTGGTGCTGTCTGCTGGTTCTCCCTTTGCTGCCCTTCTTAAAGAGTTTCCTTTAACAACACGGTTGTCTCCTCAATGCAAAACTGCTCTTCCCTGAATGGAAGATTCCATCAGAGGCTCGTTCTGTGACTCAGGTCAGAAGAAACCATGTGTTGGCAAAGGCGTGATGGCCCCGTGCTTTGTTGCAAGTTTGGTAGTTGTTAGCCCGTGAGCGTTGGCTACAGCACAGATAACCACACACGTGAAGCCTGCCTGTGGGAGTGTTTTTTTGCGGGGGCACCTTTCCATGGGTGTGTGTGTGTGTGTGTGTGTGTGTGTCTGTACATATTAAACACATGCATATGTGCCTAGAAAGTAAAGATAGAACTGGAAACAGATCACAGGATGGAAAGACCAGTGAACCACTTACAGTGCCCAAAAGTCTGTGTTTTTCTCATTGTTTAATGATACATGACTGATTTTAAAGGTTTTATTAATAAATGGATTCGTGGCTCATGTTAGAAAGTTCTATCCCTTTGCATATTGGCAATTTCCCAAAGTAAGCCACATAAAAATACTGTTACAACACAAAATAAGTATTTCTGAATACAGCCATATGAGAATTTTCATCAACATTGTTTTTAAAAAATGTTTGTACCCCAGGATGCCACTTCTGTGTTCATGTATGTGTGTGTGCATCTGGTATGTGTGCATGTGTTTTTAATACTTCCCATCCTATGACATGGCGTGCCAACATCCAGCCTGATGTCGTCCAGCATGTGTTTGGATTGTGTCTCTTGCATTACAAATTGCAGCGGAGACAGGTGTGGGAGAACTTTGTATAGGAATTTAAATTCCTTAGAATGATCTCAGAAGATTATCGAGATCTGGGTTCTAGTCCCATTTGGAGAGAAGATGTTACTTGGAATCATTTGCTTATTTTTATACTTTCTCCCTCTAGACAAGCAGATGCCCAGGGTCCAGAAGCCTGTACGACAGCACAGCAGGACTCTCAGAAGCCGTCCCAGCTCTCTAAGCCACCTCCCGCCTGGGAAGCTCCAGAGGTGCCCCAGGAGGCCCGCAGCCGAGCGGGGACCCTACCTCGAGATTACAGATACCCAGAGGAAACGCTCGGTCCAGGACCACATGTGCCGAGCGTCCCCGAGGCCCTGCACACTTGGGGGCAGGACCCGAGGCCCGTGAACACTGCACCGCTCCCCAAGAAGCCAGCCCCACAGAGGCCACCGCCGCCCAAACGTGAACCCAGGCAACTCAAGGGCCTGGCTGGTGGCACACCTGGGGCCGCTCACCTAGGTGCCCCCAGCAGGCCCTTTCCCCCCCAGTCCCCGGAGGCCCTGGAGGCGTGCGTGGACCGCCTGTCCCTGTCCCACAGCCCCTGTGCCTTGGTGGAGAAGCTGAGCAGTGTGCAGCCCGAAGACGGTGTGAGGGCCTCTGGTGAGCACAGCAGGCGGCATGTAGATGAGCACACAGCCTGCCCTAAGCGTGAGGCCCAGCTCCCTTCCAAGTTCCGGCCCCTGCAGACGTCCGCCATGGAGACCTCTCGCTCCCCTTCTCCTCAGTTCGCTCCCCAGAAGCTGACAGACAAACCTCCCCTGCTGATCCAGGAGGAGAATTCTGCAAGGTACTATCCTGGGACAGTGGCCCTGTGCACTTCCCCTTTTCTGAGCTCCCGCAGGAGGTTTGTGGTGCATCTTTCCTGGGTGGTGGACGCTGGGTACCTTGCTTCAGCTACACACGTTGGATTTTAAGTTGCCTCTGGGGACTGACTCCATGGGGGAGAATCCACAGCTCCAGTGGTCAGTTAGATTTTGAACTTGGTGGGGGGGCTGTCCTGTTCCACAGGAGCAAGGGGGATGTGATAGAGGTGGGGGGCCATCCCCTGTCCCTTTCACCCAAGGCCAGCATTGATATATGCATCACCCACAGGCATGTGCCCATCAGCGCTCTGTGTTCCCTAAGCACCTGTTTGTAATCAGAATCCGGTTTAAACTAAGCAGGAGACCTTCAGGAGAAAATGGTGTTTTTCATAATGTCCAGTATTTCCACACTGTTTTTTCTTTTTCTTTTTGAAGATTTTCTTTATCTGAGAGAGAGAGAGTGCAAGCGAGCACGGGGTAGGGAGGGGCAAAGGGAGAGGCAGAGAGAGAGAGTCTCAAGCAGACTCCCCACTGAGCATGGAGCCCGACATGGGGCTCGATCCCAGGACCCTGAGATCATGACCTGAAGCGAAACCCAAGAGTTGGCCGCTGAACCGACTGAGCCACCCAGGCACCCCTCTACACTGTTTTTCTATGTCTTATGTGAAAAGCCAGGCTGGTATACACTTTTTGTTAAAGCAGAGGAAACACCTATTCTAGTTCATGGTGCTGGTGTTACAATTTCAGGCACAGGATTGTCTGTCGTGCCCATTGAGACGTTGATAAGTGTGGTCAGGCAGGGGACTGACAGCAGCACCGACTGTTTCCTTTTTCCCTCCTGTCTGAGGGCCTTTGAAGAAGTGAGAACTGGAAGAAGCGGAGAATTTTCATCTTGTTCTCTAGAGCAGTGGTTCTCAAGCTGGGGGAGGGCCGTTTTGCCCCGAGGGGACATCTGGCTGTGTCTGGAGAGGTTTTGGGTGTCACAGCTGAAGAGGGAGTGTTGCTCCTGGCATCTCGTGAACAGAGGTGAGGGATGCTGCTCCACATCCTGCGGTCCCCAGGTCCGCCCCGCAGCCAGGAATGCTCTGGCCTGGAATGTCCCCAACTGTCCCACACGGCCGCCAACAGTCACATGGGGCCATGGGAACGTCCGTTAGTGAGAAATATAATAAATCCCGTGCATCATTCGGAACAGTGTGCAGCTGGTGGCACCAGTAACTGGTTGTTTCCGTCGTTCCCAGAAAGGTCTATTGGACCTTCCTGTTCTAGAGTCTCAAGCTCTTCTTTTTTTTTTTTTAACTTCAAAATATCTCCGCAGAGAGGACATTCCTGGTATCATCCTGTGTGTCCAAGTGTGACATTGTACCCACAGTTGCGCTTTATGTCGGTCGTTTACGATGTGGGTGCCACTGAAATGTCCTTGCCGTGGCAGGTGACATTGTAAGTTGTGAGAGGAAGGAAAGGCTGTACAGTGGTCTGTGGTGAGGCAGGTATGTGACACTGTTGCAAGCGAGCCAGCCTCTGCCCCTCCATCCTGCGTCCTGCGGAGCTAGTGTGAGGAGCATGGGCCCCTCGGACAAACACCGCCACGTGCCCCACAGTGCTCCCGACCTGTGTTCGCTCTAGAAGCAGGCAGTAGCTTTCATTTTCCCTTGCCTGAAGCAAGTGTTGATTTTCTCATTCTGTCTGTCCTGCGAGCTAGAGAGGGATTTCGGTAAGCCGTGACAATACTATAGAAGATCCTGGCGGGGGTTGGGGGGACGGAGGGTCTGGGGGGTCTTTGGGGACCCACGGTATTGAGTTTTCTCATCCGCCATGTCCTTGGGGCCAGAAAGCATTGGCTTTGCAGTATGTCTCTTGCTGTACAAGTGCTCACAGAGAGCTTGAACTCTGGTCGGCATCTGGACCCATCCCCAAATACGTCCTCTGTGCTCTTCTCGGGAAGCACGGGGAGGCAGAGGGTGGCCGTGCTGCTTCCGAAAGTTGCTACCAAGGAAGTCGCTCATAGGGGACTCAATTACCATTCCCCACGGTATGTGCTGTCAATCAGTCCTGGTGTGAAAGCGTGGAATCCCAGTGACCGACGAGACAAAGGAGAAGCCAGGGCCCAGGGGTCCTGGCTCTGCTCGGTGTCCACAGTCAGCGACCGACAGGTCCGCAAGGAGAGCATGCCTGGGGCAGGGCTTCCCACGCTGCCTGTCACTTGAGCTCGGCTCAGAGATACTGTTCTTGCCCTGCCCTCTGTGGACTTCGAGTTCTGGAGCTTGAGATGCTCACCTCCTCTCCCTCCGTGTCTGGTGTCTTCCTCCTTCCAGTTACCCCTCGATCACGAGTGTGCATGTGCGTGTGCCGGCCACCTGCCGGGGTGCCCGCCGGGGGGCAGGGCAGGCTCCCACACTCACGCACCTGCTGAGCAGTTCCCGTGGGCCAGGGCCGAGCTGCTGAGACCAACAGGGTGCAGCATTCCTTCCCTCTGGGGAATTTCTGAATGGGCGTTCATGCTCCCCCCTCCCCAAAAATGCATCAACTCTTGTCCTGAAACTAGGTAGCTTACTTTCAAATCTTTAAAAGTTCTCTCTGGGTTTCTTGTTGAAACTACAAAATGGAGACGCTGGCCGGCAGCATCTCTGGCGGTGGCCAGTGACAGGGATTTGATCACTCCCAGAAGCGTTCTCAGGAGCGTTTTCCCAAGAGCCTGTTCCCATTTGGGAGTGTACAGGCATAGAGTGCCGGTTCGGCTCCCTCACGGCCACGTGCACAGCATTCGCACCCCCGTCACCTCGAGCCTGGGCGTTCGCGAGTCTCCTGAGCGGGTCCTGGAGTTCCCGCGAGCCGGCGCGGCGTGCAGCTGACGGGCTCCCTCGGCAGTGGGTGTGAGTGGAGCCGCGTGGAGCGCTTGCTGCCGGGGCCGGGCTCCCGTGGGCAGCAGGCGCTTTGAGAGCAGCCGCAGGGCTCGGCACACCCCACCTTCTCCGTCCCTCTGCTCTTGCCTGTTGGTTAGGAATTGATGAGCTCTGGTTGTGGTAAGGTCTAATCTGTTGTGTTTTGTCCTGGCTTTGAAGTAAAAATTCATCAGACTTCTTTAAATGTGGAAGTCTGGACAGTTTTCGAGAGGAGAGACCATGTGTGCTTAGAAAAGATACTAGAGATGCTTTGCTGGAAAGTGTAGGTCAACGTGTGAAGAACGTGTTTTCGTTGTGTTCTTTTTTCGTGTCCTCCTGCCCTGGAAATCCAGTTCCTCCACAAGTGGAAGAAGATAAATAGAGGTGGACTTAGGAGTCAGTACGAGGGCGGTGCCTGGCTGGCTCAGTTGGGAGAGCATGGGACTCTTGATCTCAGGGTCGTGAGTTCAAGCCCCACATTGGGCATAGAGCTGACTTTAAAAAAAAAAAAAATTCAGGGTGGGGGGCTGGGTTAGCCTGGTGACGGGTATGAAGGAGGGCACGTATTGAATAGAGCCCTGGGTGTTCTACGCAAACAATGAATCATGGATCACTACATCAGAAACAGATGATGTGATGTATGGTGATTAACATACATACATATATACATACATACATACATACATACATAAATAAAAATTTGGTAATAGGTGGTCCAGGTTTCTAAGTGTGGAATGAAAGGAATGCAGAGGGGTTCCTGTCTCTCTGTCTTTGCTTAGATAAGATGCCAAAAGTTTCCTTCTGGAGTTTAGCACATCTAAATGGCATTTTCTACAGAGCTGGCCTTTTAAAATTTATTCACAAAGAAGGCATTAGGCGAGGACTGTACATGAATACCTAGATAAAACATCTAATGATTTCTACTGGAGGAGAGAAGAGAATACAAAATTATTTTGGCCTGTGCAGCGCAGTGACCAGGGAAAAGAACATAATGTGTTCCCCACTGCCAGATAAAAGGCAAAGAAAAGCATTTAATTTAGAGCAATGGAGCATTCCTTGTGCTGCACAAAATTCGGTCCATTAGGATCACGTTGTAGAAATGATCTTAGCCCACTAAGTTAGAAACAAGTGTGGGACTTTGGCTTCATGATTTTGACTTGTTTTTTCCTTCCCTTGTGGGCACCAGCAGATGGCTCTCTTTCTCCAATATGTCCTTTAAAAAATAACTTGAAACAGAGTTTTATCCCGGTGGCCCTGGTCCCACAGGGTCCCTGGGTGTGGTCCGGCAAGGTGTAGCTGAGGGCACCAAGCGGCATTCAGGCTATCCTGAATGAAGCCCCATCACACCAACCAGTTCTGTGTTGTCTCTCTTCCGTGTGGGTCCTCCCCAGCTCCTTTCACTGCGAAACCCTCTTTATTAATTTTTTTCTTTTCTTTTTTTGTTTTTGTTTTTGTTTGTTTTTTGTGTTGTTTTCTTTTTTTTATTTAGAGAGCATGTGCGAGCGGGGGGCAGGGAGGGGCAGGGGAGGAAGAGAGGGAGAGAAAATCTCAAGCAGGCTCCACACCCAGCGCAGAGCCCCACGTGGGGCTCAGTATCACGACCCTGAGATCATGACCTGAGCCGAATCAAGAGTCAGACGTTCAACCAACTGAGCCATCCAGGTGCACCCCCCCCCCGCCTTTTTTTAAAGCAAGCTCCACACCCAATATGGAGCCCGATGTGGGCCTTGAACTCATGACGCTGAGATCAAGAGTCAGGCATTTAACTGACTGAGCCACCCAGGTGCCACCCCCCGTCTGTTTTTTTTTAAGGAAAAGTGTGTCCTCAGTGAGTCACTTAAACTAATGCAGAAGTGGTGTGCCCTGTGTTTGCTGCCAGATCCTTGTGTGGCTGGTTTGAGAAGTCGTGTGAAGGGTGGCTTGAAGTGGTGGAAGGCAGGTGGAGGGTGACAGCCGGTGCACACAGCACGTGAGGAAGCTTCAGATTGGGGCCAGCGGATGCGTGGTGCTCAGTGTCCACACTCAAAACATAGCCGCTCTGTAGGGAAGTCCTCCCGCGGCCCCAGAACCACGCAGGCCCCCGTGGGTGTGCACTGGCCCTGCTTTGAGACTGTAATGACAGTTCTGTTAGAGAGGCCTGTCTGTCGCAGGTTTCCCCGCCCAAAGATAACGTCACTGAGCAGGGCTTGTGAATATGTGCACGATGACTGGCATGAAAACGAGGGCCCAACCATCCACCTCTGAGTCAGTAAGCCCAGGGATCCAGCCTCAGGCGTCTGTAGCTGTGTGGGTGACTTTGAAAATTGGAAGGTGCCCAGGCGCTCAAGGTCAGGAAATGGAGCCTCCTCCACCTCCATTCCCCATCCTCGGTCGTGGGATTGTAGAGGTTCTCCCTCCACTGCAGTGGCCGCACGTCCCCCAGCCGTCAGGGCAGGCGAGGGACCAGCCGGTTTCTGTGCCGGGTAGCAGTCCGTATGGGGGCTCACTTTGTTTTCAGCACACGGCTCTTGTCTTTCCAGAATTGAGCGGGTGATGGACAACAATACCACGGTGAAGATGGTGCCCATCAAGATTGTGCACTCGGAGAGCCAGCCTGAGAAGGAGAGCCGCCAGGGCCTGACCCGCACTGCCGAGCTGCCCGCACTACCCAGCGGGCTGGAGAAAGACCAGATCAAGACGCTCAGCACATCCGAGCAGTCCTACTCACGCTTCTGCCTGTACAGCCGCCAGGGTGCTGAGCCCGAGCCCGAGCGCCCCAGCGCCCCAGCACCCGGCACCAAGGACAGCGGGGCCTCTCCTTCCGGCCTCAGCTACGTGAAGGCCAAGGAGAGGACAGCCGAAGACCTGAAATCGGAAGAGCTGGCCCGGGAGATCGTGGGGAAGGACAGGTCCCTGGCCGATATCCTGGACCCCAGTGTGAAGATCAGAACCACCATGGACCTCATGGAGGGCATCTTCCCCAAAGATGAGCACCTGCTGGAAGAAGCTCAGCAGCGCCGGAAGCTGCTCCCCAAAGTCCCGTCTCCGAGAAGCATGGAGGAGAAGTGAGTAAGGCTGCCTTCCGTTCTGCAGCTGGCCGAGTGTGCTTCTGCCCTCTCCGCAGCTCTCAGGCTTCAGGGGGCAAGGGGCTGGTCCACGGATCTGTTTTCATGATGGCTTTTCGGGGGCACATTTTCATAAGCACTGCCCACTGCTTGTAGACCATGTTGGCTGTTTTGTGACCTTCCCAAAAGAGCCACTGAGGCCCGTTCCTGCAGATGCCACCTTGGGGGCCTGGAAAGATGTGAAAATACCACAGTTCCTGCGCATTCTTAGCTTGAGGCCAGTGTGGTTCAGGGTGATGCCCACGGGCTCCTTTCTCAGAAGACCACACTTCTCAGCTGGGACACTCTCACCCCCGCCCCCCGCCCCAGGGGACAGTTGGCAATGTCCAGAACGTGTTTAGTTGTCACACCTGGGAGGTACTGCCAGCATCCTGTGGGTGGAGACCGGGGAGGCTTTCGACAGCCTACCGAGCCCAGGACGCCCCCATAGCAGAGAAGGCCCCGGATGTCCGTCCGTGCTTACGAAGGAGGCTTTGTGCTCCTGGTTATGGAGCGCAGTGAGTGGGTGCGTTGCCATGGGTTGCTAGACAGTGCTTTGCAGCCTGTCGCATTCACGGGCTGCCTGCACGGGCCTGCGTGGTCGCGTCTGCCCTGGTGGTCGCGTCTGTCCTGGTGGTGTCCAGCGTCTCCATAAGCACTCTTCACGGACAGTAGGTGGGAGCGCCAGTGAAATGCAGCACAGAAGGACAACGGGGGTGAGGCGGACCCGAGCCGTGGGGCACGGACGTGGCGGCAGGTAGAAAGGTGCAGGTTGCATTTGGGGCCTTGAGGCCTCTCTTACAGGTAGCTGTGTGTGCATACTCTTCGTAGACCTCAGGCCCCTGGCGAAAGCTCTCCCTCTACTCCGTTCCCTCCCAGGGGGAGATTTTTAGACATCCTGTTTACTTGACCTTTTTCCCCTTTTTAAAAAACTGTATTCCGTAGACTTGAGGAGTATCCATTTGGCGACACATTTTTTTTAGATCTGTCACCTACTCCCCTGCCCCCTTTGGCTGTCTCTTGCCGCTGGCTGTTGTCCTGGTGTTGGCACCACCGTTTGCTTGTCACAGAGCAGGCCGTGGGCCGGAAGGAGGTGTCTGGGCATGGAGTCACGGCCGATTCAAGTTCTGACCTTGTTCCCCAGGAGAGAGGAGCTGGCCGTGCCGGTGGCCGTGTCCCTCGCTACCAACTCGACCTACTACAGCACGTCGGCCCCCAAGGCAGAGCTGCTGATTAAGATGAAGGACCTACAGCAGCAGCAGGACCCAGAGGACGACTCGGGGAGTGACTTGGACCACGACCTGTCGGTGAAGAAGGTAGGAAAGCCCGTTGTCAATGAAGGCGTGCTCGGAGGCAGGCAAGGGGCAGTGTGGGCCCTGCGCCACGTGTCCAGGGGCCTTTGTGTTCAGCTTTTGTGCAGGACAGTGACATTTGGGACAGCAGTCGTAAGCCCTTCGTGACTAAGTTGTTCCACAATTGGACCTTTTCCCTCACGGTCTTTTTACCATCTTTTTTTTTTTTTTTTTTTTAAGATTTCATTTATTTTGAGAGAGAGAGAATGAGCAAGAGAGAGAGCACAAGCCAGGAGGAGTGGGAGAGGGAGACGCAGACTCCCCGCTGCGCAGGGAGCCCGATGGCGGGGCTCGATCCCAGGACCCTGGGATCATGACCTGAGCCGAAGGCAGACGCTTCACCGACTGAGCCACCCAGGCGCCCCTCTTTACCATCTTTGTGTAGTAAGATCCAAGGTCATGTTAAGTGGGTACCATTCTCATTCAAAAAGTTCAATTGATATGGCCCTTCTATCCCATTTAAAATCTAGGGACTAGGGCACACACTCGTGCTCACTTGCTCTCTCTCTCTCAAATAAAATCTTTTAAAAGATAAATAAAAATAAATTCTAGGGACTTAATTGTATCACCTCTAGCAACTCACATGTTCTCCCTACCTTCCCTAAGCGGGAGCTTACGTTCAACCAACACAAAAACATACATACAATACACTGTCAGCTCACTACAGCCTGTGGACGAGACATGGCCCACCACCTGCTTTGATAAAAGACCTTTTATGGAAACACAGCCACACTGATCTGTTTATCTGTGTGCTCTGGTGACTTTTACACCATAGCAGCAGACTTAAGTGGTCACCCCTGACCGTGCGGCCTGTAGAGTTGAAGGTCTTCACTGTCTGGCCCTTTACGGAAGGAGTTTGCCAACCCTTAGCGTAGTACCTTGCATGGTAAGAGAATTAAAACACGATGAAGGAATGGAGCAAAACAAAGGAATGTGATTGTAGAGAGCCCGGATGAGGTGTTGACTGAACAGTGACCTGGGTGGTGTGTGAAGGGTAAGTCGCGTGGGTGTCTGGGTGTGCTGCAGGGAGAGGGGCCTGCCAGCGCTAAGGTCCTGAGGTGGGAGCCTCACGACATGTTGGAGAAGCAGCAGGGGCCAGTGGTGGGAGCTGTGTAGACGAGGAATGGAGGATTGGAGATGAAGTCGGAATGAGGTCAGGGACTAGTGAGTGCCCATGAGGTTGTGCTAGGGACAGAATTACTGCTATCAGTGTCAATGTCATTACTAGTATATTAGCGTTAGATCTTCGTGATATGTCAGCATGCCAGACCTGTGCCGTCTAGGGGATTACCTGTTTTTTCGTAGAAAGGCCTCAGCATTAAAGGGATGAGGGACTTGCCAAAGAAAGTCTGTCTCAGAGGGGACCATGTACTGTTTATTCCAAGGACTTGAGCCCGTCTAGTAGTAGGAAAAGGAAAGGAGGGAACAAGCATTTTGTGAATGTTTTCCATATGCTCAGCACTTTGGAAAAGGGCTTTCATAAAAAACACTAATTTTTTTTTTTTTTAACAAAAATCTTTGCAAAAGATTTTGCTGGAAGTCTGCTTGTATCTTTAGTGGTTTAAAAAATACCACGGGTTGATTTCAGATATAATAGAAGAAATATCGTGACCCATGCACAAAAGAAAATTACTTTTATTTTGGGAAACAGTAGCTTTTTGGTTCAAGGAATTGAAGGAAATGTAAGATAAGCACTTTGGTCCTGGCTTAGGATTGCATTTTCTGTTGTGGTTGATGTTGTTGTTTTTTAAATAAAGAATCAAAAATGTTTTTAGTTCCTCTCATAAAACTAGAAAAAAATGTACACTTTGCACAGTTCTAATTCAGTCCTGGCCGTAGATGTAGATGACTGTGCGCTTTACGATGTGCCCTTGTTCCTCGTGCTGTGATGAATTTGAGGGGCTCCCTTCGTCTCTGTGGCACTTTCTCGTTTTGCTTTTGGGAGGCACAAGATGCTGGGGCTCTGCCTCCCCTCAGATGGCTGCTTTGGGATTCAGATGAGTCCCTGTGGGGTCCTTGGGTGCCTCAGTCGACTGGGCGTCTGCCTTCGGCTCAGGTCATGATCTCAGGGTCCTGGGATCGAGCCCCACATCGGACTCCCTGCTCGGTGGGGAGCCTGCTTGCTTCTCCCTCTCCCTCTGCCCCTCCTCCTGCTCATGCTCTCTGTCTCTCAAATAAATAAATAAATAATATTTTTAAAAGAGAGAGAGGTGAATCCCTGTGAATTTGCCTCCTGACAGTGTGCCCGCCCCACCCACCCCCCGTGACTAAACTCTTAAGTGGACCGACATATTTTGCTCAATATGCACCTGTCGAGTGATTACACCATAAATGGCAAGTGCTAGAAATCACAGTTCTGCGCCGTGTTAGTGACTCAGGAATCCCGCTTTTCGGCTTGGTTTGACAAAGGCAATGGCTGCCCTGTGTTTGCAGCCTTCCTTCCAAGTCACACAAGTATACTGTGTCATGTGGTTGTGCAATGTGTGCACAGGGGAAAGGAGGAAGTGCAGGGGGGCCGTGACGGTCGAAGAGCAAGACCCCAAGTCCTCTGTGTGCCGGATATTCCCCGAGGGGCCTCGGCTGTCATGGTCACAGCATCCCTGCGTGCTCACAGAGCCAAGTGCCGAAGCAGGTGAGCCCACGTTTTAGGAGACTAAGGACACAGGCAAGAGAGAACGGAAAGCCCCATGCAGGCAAGCAGTGAGAGCGTTCTGGTGTCTGTTTGGAAGCATTATGCTGGGAAGGCTCATAAATACGTTTTTGTATGTGGGGTGGCTCAGGCCGACTCTGCTCAGAAAGTGCCCTGGTGGAGTTATACAGAGGTTCTTCAGGAGAACCAAACACACTCATTGGTCAACGTCTAGAATCTCTGAGGGTTACGGTTTGTCCCTGGACCCAAGAGGTAGGTGCAAGGCCCAGAGAGGAAAGACCTCATTTTCCCATGGAGTGCGACAAAAGTTAGGTGTCTGGGGCCATCTGAACAGAGGTAAGAAGCAGCGTTGCACCTGCTGTGAGCCCTGGGGGCTGGTCTCTGCCACCGGTCGCTCTCAGCCCAGGCCTCCCCAGATGCCACAGGCTGCAGAATGGAAGCAGATGGGCTTGCGAGAGCCTCATCTGATGGGGCGCGTGAAGCCTTCTGCACCCAGGCTGGTGCTGAGAGTGATTATTTCCTGTGCTGCCGGGGCCAGGCCTCATCCCAAGATCTTTGAAAGTCAATGTCTGTGCTGCTTATAATGGCCCTTTAAGGAAGAAGGGGAGGGTGTTTCTAATAAAAACTTATGCAAGACCTATAAAGCAATCAAAGGAATTTGGGCTCCTTCCAGAACGCCCAGTTTCAAGTTAGCTCAGCTGATACTGCAGGTTTGAAGGCACGTTTTGATGCATTGGCATGAAATCTTTGTTATGATGATTGCTGAAGAATAATGACACCGAAGAATTACCAGTAACGCTGGCCAGGCCTAATACATCCACAATCCTCTAATTGCTTGAGGTATTCATTCAGGTTAGGGTTGGCTTCAGGCAAGAATTTGGAAAGTTCTCCATCCCTATAATCTGTTTTCTGTTTCTCCCTCAAGTAACGAATATGTGCAAAAAAGCCATCTTAGCTGTGGGATTCGAAGTTGATTTAAAGCATCTCGCCCAATAGGTCGGTCCACAGAGACACAGGGTCACAGATACACAAGCGTGAGCACACTCAGACCCCCACGCTCATCATCAGCATCAACATCAACGAAATGGTAGACGCGCACGGTTTTAACTGACCGAGGGAAGAAAATGCCTTAACTTCCTGAGCAGCCCTGAGGAAAGGCCATGGCTTTTGGATCTGCGGGCTTATTTTTATGTATTTGTGTGGACCCGTAAATGCTAGATGGAGATTCTCAAGTCAGTGCCTTGTCCTGAGACAGAGCCGCCACGTGATCAGCTCCTGCAAAGCATGCCGTGCTATGCTCGTGGTTCAGCGTGTCTTTCCTGCCGAGGTTGGACTTTTCCCACCTACATAGTTATCGGGACAGGTGGTCTGGACCTGACTGTTGTGTGTTCAATCAGGGCAGCTTCTCGCCGCTCACTCCCAGTATTGCTGACCCCTGCTGAGTACGGGGCACCCACCGGGGGCTGCTGGGCTGCGACCACGTGCAGGGATTTCCTTCGGTGTTCACATCAGTCCTCGAGGTGGGGGTTTCTGTTCCGCATGGAGCTGTGGACACGGTCCTGGAGAGCATCAGGAGACTTTGCTCCCTCCAGGCATGGCCTTCTCTCCCCCAGGCTCTGCAGGCTCCCTCTGGGGTCGGAGTTTGTAAACTGCCCCGGGACAAAGGACAGCGGTACGGGTGACTTCCATAGGTCCGCTTTGTATAGTGTTGCTTGTTACAGCAGAGTGAGCTAAAAATCCTGATTGGACTTGAGTGTTCAAATGGTACCATCTTCATTCAGGTTAGTGCACCTGCATGCTGTCGGTTTTCAGTCTCTTTCGGGGGGCTAGCCCAGCGGAGTGCTGGCATCACCTTGGCTCTTCGGAACTCACCAGGTGGGGGCCAACAACCCATTGCTTCTGCTCCGGGTGGACCTAATGACAGAGAGATGTCCGTGATCATCAGCCAGTGGTTTTTTCCCGGGCAGGGCTCACCCGTGTTCTCCCTGAGAGCCATCCCTGTTGTGATTCTTCCCATATATAACAGGAGGTGGATGTCTTTGCCACTCATGTCAGGCCATCTGGCGCCGCATCACTTTAGGTGGGCGGCCGATGTATATGTTTTAGTTTTTATGTTTGCCCTTTAAAAACTAATCATTTAAAGGGCCAGTGGGAGAGGAGAGTGGGGAGTTCGTATTGAATAGAGCTTCCGTTGGGGAACATGACAAAGTTCTGGTGGTGATGGTTGCACAACCACGTGGACGTACTTAGTACCACAGAGCCGGACACTGAAAAGTCGGTAAAATGATCAATTGTCTTCTGTAGATTTTGCCATATTAAAAAAAATGAGGGCGCCTGGGTGGCTCAGTTGGTTAAGCGACTGCCTTCGGCTCAGGTCATGATCCTGGAGTCCCGGGATCGAGTCCCGCATCGGGCTCCCTGCTGAGCAGGGAGTCTGCTTCTCCCTCTGACCCTCTTCCTTCTCGTGCTCTCTATCTCTCATTCTCTCTCTCTCAAATAAATAAATAAAAACTTTAAAAAAAAAAATGAGTAACTTATTTGCACTTTGGTCATATTCAAGTCAGGTTTCTCTAAAGGACTTTTAATTTTACTGACAGCCCTTTATTTGTTTTAACTTTTACTGCTTGCTCTATGTAGAACATACTTTTTAATCATGGAATTCAGTACTGGGCATGAGACTCAGTAGCTTTTGTACATGTGAGTCTTTAAATGGGAAAATTCCAGGGGCGCCTGGGTGGCTCAGTCAGCTAAGCGTCTGCCTTCGGCTCAGGTCATGATCCCAGGGTCCTGGGACCGAGCACCACATCGGGCTCCTTGCTCAGTGGGGAGTCTGCGTCTCTCTCTCTCTCGCTCTCTCTCTCTCTCTCTCAAATAAATAAATAAAATTTTAAAAATATAAATAAATTGGGAAGTTCCAAAGTATGAAGCACAGAGTGTCACGTGGGCCCTGAGATTCCTGGCAGAGGTAAAGAGTGACGGGAGGTTTTACTGTGAGTAGCCCCGGAGGGCCAACTCCTGCATTGTCTTCGAGAATACTAACAGGATGAGAACAGGGTGTTTTGTTTTATTTCTCAATTAAATGCCAGTGATGTCACCAGGAGTTATCCTTCCCCTGGTCTTATAAATCCTCTGTTGTTTGATGCAGAGTAAACTCTTACCCAGTTCAGCTGAATTCCATGCAGATCCCTTAGGTGAGACCACAGGGGCTGCCGCAGCGGCTAGACAAGCCGGGTTGGGGCCACCCTAATGAGTGTTTGCACGCCACCCTGTGTCCCCACAGCAGGAGCTCATCGAGAGCATCAGTCGCAAGCTGCAGGTGCTTCGGGAGGCCCGAGAGAGCCTGCTGGAGGACATCCAGGCCAACAGTGCACTTGGGGACGAGGTGGAGGCCATTGCCAAAGATGTCTGCAAACCCAACGAGTTTGACAAGTTCCGCATGTTCATTGGGGACCTGGACAAAGTGGTGAACCTTCTGCTGTCGCTGTCCGGCCGCCTGGCCCGCGTGGAAAATGCCCTCAATAATTTGGATGACAGTACTTCTCCTGGTGACCGGGTAGGTACAGCGTGGGAAGGTCGTGCGCGGGGTGTTGTGAGTTCACACTGTGAAGCCTCACACAGCTCCTAGGCAGCCCATCCAGAGCTCTCCATCTCTTTCCGTGGAACTGACACAAACAGGTGCTGCCGGGACACACGGGGCCTTGAGCACCGTTGTCATTGGACGGCAGGGCTGCTGTGATGTTTGGGAAGAACTGGGGGTTCCTTGTGACATCTTTTCATCCATTCCCAGTGATCCTTACTAATAACAGTCTCTTCGTCAGAAGTTGTCTTTTTCACTTAACTACATGGAAGTGGCGCTCGGCTACTCTGACAGATTACAAGCAGTGATCATGGAATTCAGTGTTGTTGCTGCTTTTAACAGGAGTTCACACGGCAGTCTGGAAGGAGCTGAAGGACTGTCTGCCTTTTCTCCCTTTCTTTCTTTTTAAGATTTTATTTATCTGTCAGAGAGAGAGAGAGAGCACAAGCAGGGGGAGCTCAGGCAGAGGGAGAAGCAGGCTTACTGCAGAGCAGAGAGCCTGATGCGGGGCCCGATCCCAGGACCCTGGAATCATGACCTGAGCCGAAGGCAGACGCCTAACGACTGAGCCACCCAGCTGTCCCCCTTTTCTCCCTTTTTTGAGGTGTGCAGCTTGGAACATGTCTCTTAGTGGGTTTACATTTCGGTTTTTCACCGAAAATACGGTGCAAAATACGGGAAGTAATATCTACCTCACTGGCTTTCCTTCCTGGGTCAGATAATCAGCAAAACGTTGAGTTTGATTCAGTGAGTAGGCCGTCAAACGATCATCTTTATTATTAATAAGACTCCTTAACTTCTCTGAATGGGGAGCAGAAGAGGCACCCCTCTCCCTTACTCCACGTGAGAGTGGTGTCAGCCACATAAATCTTCTAGAGAGTGCCTTTCAGACCAATGTAGCTCTGTGCTTAGCTAAGTAACTACCATTTGAACATACTATATAAGCATTTAAGAAATAACTGGGATCCTTGGGTGATGTTCAGATTCCAGATTGCTGTTTTCCCCATCTTTGCCAGGTGTATCTGAAAAGAGGAAAATAACATGAACAGGAAGGAGAGATTTATTTATATGTAACTGGCATATTCTCAAATATTGATTTAAGGGGAAAAGTAGTATGGTCTTTGCAGCTCAACCCATCTTTAATCCATCTTTCCCCCTCTGTGAGTGCAACGGACAAAGACTTTATTTAGAATTTAGGGATGATAGGGGCGCCTGGGTGGCTCAGTTGCCTTCAGCTCAGGTCATGATCTCAGGGCCCAGGAATCAAGTCCCGCATCGGGCTTCCTGCTCAGTGGGGCGTCTGCTTCTCCCTCTCCCTCTGCCCCTCCCCCTGTCCATGCTCTCTCTTTCTCTCAAATAAATAAATAAAATCTTTTTAAAAAAAAAATTGAGGGAATGCTAGAAGGAGTCACAACAGTAAGGACCATGCCGGTGGTCTTCCTGGATACCAGACTGTAGATAACTGTACATTGGTGGCCCTCACCACATCCTGGGGGTCCCTCCGAATGCGGTGTCTCATTGCAGTGGTCCAGTGTCCAGCATAGCCGCCTTTGGAGGAGAGTCTGTCAGGCAGTCGCAGCTTGGGGAAGCTAAGGTTTTCAGAGACAGACATGGTAGCCAATTAAAAGACACAGAGGGAGGTTTTATAAGGCTCCCTCCATCTTTCCACATAGAGAATGAATACGTGGGTTGAAGCAGACACATCTGGTCCTCCCCCAAGTCTCTGCAGCTTCCTGTCACCGGTCAGCCCAATTGATTTTAACAGCCCGAGCGGACTTCTAGAATCCGTTAACATCTGTTTTCCTTTGCATTGGAACAAATTTGCCTTGCCTCCCCTCTTTCCGTGCAAACTCCGTGTCTGTTAGTTTGACATGGAGATGGAGGTGTCCCACGGGGGTGGGCAGGATGCCCCGCGTGGCGGTGTGGTCCGGGGTACGTCCTGGAAAGCCGCAAACCAACAGCGCTCTTCCTGTGCGTGGGCGTTTTTCAAGGCGCCACCATGTCCTAGATGCTCGTGTGTGGCTGTCGGTAACTGTCCGTGGCCAACTTGCAGAGTGGCGGAACACCAGAGTGGCTGTCCGGGTGCCCAGGTGAAAGTCACACCGAGGACACGAACCACCCCCCCAGCCTCCCCCGGCTGACGACTGGAAGACATTTCATGAGTTCAGCTCTTCCTTTCTTAGTTTTCATTAAACTCGGAGATGGTCGGGACAGTTCGGTGTGTGTTTTGTAAGCAGAGAGAATGACTCTGAGTGCCACATTTGGGGACTGGGGTTGTCTGTGCCCCCCCAGGGCAGGATGTTTGTAAGGAGCCAGGGAGTCTCCCCCATTGCCCTGCATCTCTCCTGCCTGTCCTCGCTCCCTCACCTGTGTTCTTCTGTAAGTTTGCCCAGAGGCTCTTCTTCCTGCCAGAAGGGTTTAGGAATCCTGCTCTGGAAGTTCTTTAGAATCTATTCCTTTTGCCAACTTCCCCGCAGTCTTGTCACAGACAGGTCTCTGACCCACCTGGGATCCCTAAGTCCTGTATACCTTTCGAGCTTCTCGAAAGTCTGTAGTTGTCTGTGGCTGGACTGCTCTTCTCATCACGGCTGTTTCTCTGAGCCCTTCAAGGCCAAGGCTGCTGGGAAGAAGTGGAAGCGGGACAAGCCTGGGAGCGCTTACGGGAGGGCTGGGGCCAGAGCCTGCTGGGGCCACCGAGTGCGCTCCGCCCCCACCCTAGGTATTCCCGTGTGGACGCCATGGGATCTCTGGTCCCTGACTTCGGTGTCACAGGCCCCAGACCTGCTGGCGTTGTCGAGCTGTCGGCCGCAGCTCCTGCTGTAGCCTTGCTCCTCAACGGGCTCGTTTTGCTTTCTCTCTCCACAGCAGTCGCTGCTCGAGAAGCAGCGGGTGCTCATCCAACAGCACGAGGACGCCAAGGAACTGAAGGAGAACCTGGACCGCCGGGAGCGCATCGTGTTCGACATCCTGGCCAGCTACCTCAGCGACGAGAGCCTGGCAGACTACGAGCATTTTGTGAAGATGAAGTCCGCCCTCATCATCGAGCAGCGGGAACTGGAAGATAAGATACACCTGGGCGAAGAGCAGCTCAAGTGCTTGTTCGACAGCCTTCAGCCCGAAAGAGGCAAATAAGAGGGGCCCTCCCTGGCGGGGGACAGAGACTGGCCCTGGGAGCTCCGTTCCTGAGGATGCAAGTAGAAACCCCAGCCTGTATTTATAATCTCCTGTAGCGCAAATCCTCCGGTGGCAAAATGGCTGTTAGGAAAGCAATAACTTCCGTGTGTGTTTGCGATGGTTTATTTAATTTTTTAGTTTCCCTTTTGAACGCGGGGCAGAATGTCTCACCGTTAGCCGCTTTTCCTTTGCAAGTCAGCGCACATGGCAGCGGGCTCCGGTGGACAGCGACTTGGTGCAGTCTAGACTGTGGGCTCTGGTCGCATGGTGCATGCAAGGGGTCGTTTTCACGGGTAGGTCTGCCCTTCCTCCCATCTTCACATCCTGAAGCAACCGCTCGGGAAGGAAGCTGAGCGAGTCTGTAAGGTGCATGAGAGGGGAAACCCTGGTGCACGTCTTGTCCTGTGATTCATCCAAAGCATGGGCTGCCACGTGTTCTGCCTGTTCGTCCGGTGGCGTGGACCATTCATTGTCCCCCAGCAAAAACCACGATGATCTGTGATGCTCATGTATTAACATTTTGGAAAGGTAAATCGTTTCCGACTGGTGAAAAACCAGCTGTGAAACGAATAACCTACATGTTGGGTTCACTCATTCTAAAATCGCCACTTACGGAAATAGTGTGCATGCTTTAAAACACACGTACAAAAAAAAATAGCTTTAGTACTGGCATCACGGTTCAAGAGATGTTTCTCTGCAAAGTGAAATTAACTCGGTTCATAGTGTGTCCAGTAGTGTGATGTGCTTGCTAGACATCTGTTTCCTGAGACCAATAGCAGATTTCTGAAATTACTTTTTCCCCAGAACACTTATTTAGTGTGCATAGGGTTTTTAATGATAATTGGCTATTGTCTCTTTCAATCTGCTACCAGGCCATAAGGGTTACATTCCATTTACTTGTAAGAACCTTTCCTCTGGTTTTTCAGAGGTCCTATGGACTCTACAACCCCTAAACCTGATCTTCTTCAACCACAGAGTTTATAGAGTCTGTGCCCTTTTTACTGGTTGAAATGGCAAGATTCTAATGAAAGTCTGTTCACTAAGAAAACACTGTCATGCTGTCCATTTCCAGTGGACAAGTCACAGAACTGGGAGAAAAGATTTGCCAATCACGTAAGTGACAAAGGATCTATATCTAGAACATATAAAGAACTTTCAGAACTCCACAGTAAGAGAACAGACAGCCCAGTTAGAACGTGGGCAAGAGACTTAACTTGGCGCTTCACCAAAGAGGATATATGTACGCATGGCAAATCGGCACGTGGAAAGATGTTCAACCACCGATGGCTTGGTTATAACATATGTTTTATCTACGTCATTGCAGACCCGGTGTGCTGCTTACAAATGCTCATCTGATTCGGTGCCTGGTAAATGGCAGGAGAACCCCTTGGATAACTTTTCATGTTGAGGTGATACCTGCGTATTTGTTTGATCGAGGGATCTTTTAGTTTTCCTCGTATTGCCATAAAAGTTTTCCAACAGGTGGGGAGACGTCCCTTTGTCAGCAGTGACCATGGCCTTACCAAAACACATGTGCACACCACTGTCTTAACTGACCGGTGTCTATACTTCCTGAGCCAGAGGGGGTGAGCTGGACTCCTGAGCCACAGTGTGGATGTCTGTGCCCCCCATAGAGGGGTCCAAACTGGCAGGCTTCAGTAATGCAGGCAATAAACACTCTTTTTGGCAAACCCGCCCATGCCAAAAAGACAAATGCCTTTTCACAAGTCGTCATTCCTGTTGAATTAAGCTATTTCTGACTTGAAAAATCCCCATTCTGCGAATGAAGTGTCCTCCTTCCCTCCCGGTGTAGCCCCTTGCTGTGAAAACTGGTCACTTCAGAAAAGGTGAAGCTGGCTGTCCACGGCCCTCCATTCTCCCCCAGGGGACAACCACAGTAATTTGAGTGTATTTTGCTTTTAATTTGGACAAAGCTTTTATCTGCGATTCTTTCCCCTCAAATACAGTGTTGTGAATCATTTTGATGATAAATACGTAAAATGTGAATAATAGAATTTATGTGTCTGTATCCAGCCTTTTGAGGTCTTTGGAGGACGTTCTCTTATACATAGCAACATAGAGTGCTCTACTACCCTTACAGCAAAGCACATGTCATCATTACTGTCCTGTGCCCTTCCCCTGTTTGCCTCTTAAACATCTGGTTAGCAGGGACCCAGAGACTGCAGTGAGTCGATGTACATAACTTTGTCTGTAGATATATTATTGCATACAACAACAATCTGGTGCTAATGTTCTGCCCTTGGCATTCTTAGGTGGTGGCTGATTCCTCCCCCCTCTGTCATAGCTCAGCTCTGGAATGCTCTGTATCACGAGAGTTCAGTCAGGGGAATTGCCTGTGGCTTTTATCCTGCCTTCCACTGTGGAAAAAGTGTATGTATTTCATGCTCAACGCTTACCACTTACCTCTCAACACATCGTCCTGCTTGACTTTAGCAAAATAAATAGTGTCTTTGAGTGAATGGAGCGTGTCTCTGATTTACCCGTGTTACATCTTTTTTTAAGTAATCACGCTATCCTCACCATATGTCAAATCCACATAAATTGCGGGATTGATTATTTGTACGTGTGTCACTGTATGTCACTGTAGCCATAGCCGTTGCCACGGTTATGCTGTGTGACAAGCAGCTGTGAAACCACATTGTGCGGTAAAGGATCTCTTTAGCTCATGAGTTTGGAGACCGTGATACTCTCTGCTCCATGTGCCTGTCATCTTCCTCCCGGGACCAGCAGTCTGGCCTGGGGGTGTCCGTGGCAGGCGCATGAGAGAACCAACGCAGGCACAAAGGTGTTATCTCACGGACCTGGTTGTATCGCACCTGCAAACCTTCCACTGTGAATGCGAGTCCCGCAGCTGAACTCAGAGCGGTTGTGGGATGTGTCCCACCTCTTCGGTGGGAGGAGCCATGAAGTTACGTGGCAGAGTGTGGATACAGGGTGTGAAGAATCGGGGCCAGGGATGAGCTCCATCTCCCACACCAGTGTCTAGTAATACGGAAAAACACTAAAGCGTCCTGGACCCCGAAGCCAGGTTCCCAGAGCAAGGCCACCTCTGCCGCTCCCTAGCCTGGTGGACAGGAGCGAGGTGCTTGGCTTCTCTGAGCCTCTGAGTTTCCTCCTCTGTCATTGGAGAAGGGCTGCGGAGCTCAGGCGAGCTAATCGATGTTCATGTGCTTAGGGACCATGCCCGCCTCAGGAAAGTGCTGCGTAAGTGGGTGTTCCTCCCTCCGTCTGGACCTGGAGGGAAATGGCTTCCCTGAACGAGTCTGCCAGAGCCTGCAGGGAGAGGAGGATTGCTTTTGCTTGGGAGGATTAGAAAGGTTTCTGTTCTGGAGCAGGTTTGTGGGGCCTGAAGGCTAGACAGGAAGGAGAGGGCCTCTTTAATAAAAAATTCTTCAAACTTAAGAGTGCATATTTACTGAGAATGGGAAAAAAATCTCTTAAGTTAGACTTTTATAAAAGCGGATGAATACCACAGATCTTGTTTGTATTTCTGGCCTCTATCCAGGCTACTTCAGGTTGTCTCGTCTGAGTTCTGAAATAGTTGGGAGACGAGTAACTGGGGACAATTCACATGCGGCCATGGCTTGCCACAGTGGTGCTAGGCTGCGGTCCCGTGGCCATGTCCCGTGGCCCACTGATGACGATGTGCGCGGTTCTGTCCCTGAGCACTTGCATGCTCATGCTGATGAATCACACGGGTGACAGTGCTGTGGACCCATCGGACTTCTTGAGGGGGAGCTACCTTGGGTACCCTGAGACCCAGTCTGGGACGTGGGAACACCAGACGTTCACTCCATTTTCAGGCCTGTCTGCTGGTACTGCCACAGGTCTGTGCCCTACAAGACAGGTGTTCTGGAAGCGTGTTTTCTGCATCTCCCGTTAAGAGAAGAAAAGCAACACACGATGTGTTTATTCTTGTATGTGGTGTATCTTGAGTCACGGTGACCCACATGAACACCCCACGAAACCCGAGCTGTGTAGTCGCAACCTCCTACCTCCCCACCAGTTGCCCCAAAAATGCTTGTGGCCGTCTCAGCACCGCCTCAGATAGGCAGAGAGGAAAGAGATGGTAGACATAACTTGAGCGCAGTGACGGTGTCTTTGCCAGATTTCACCAAAGCATAGAGCTGGGCTAGCTTAAGCCTGGTTATCAAATTCAAAGGCGAGCCTGGCCAGATAGCGTTATCCAAAGTGGCGAAGACCACGTCAAGGGGTGTTCACGTGGCTGACGGCACCAGGAGGGGAACACAGATGCCGTCTGTGGTGCGCTCTAAGAAGCACGCAGTTTGCCTTCTGAGGTGTTCTTGCTGAAAATACATCAACCCAACCCAAAGTGAGGCAAATTCTTTAAAAACAAGGCCAAGCCTTACCAGTTTTCTTAAAGGGGGGGCCAAGGTGATGAAAGACAGAGGATCTATTCAAAACAGGCCACCCGGCAAGCGAACACGCGTGACCGTAGGACGCATCCAGGGCAGTGAAAGGACATCCGCTGGCTGATCGCTGACGTTGGAACAAGTCCCGAGATCGTGCTATCGTGTGGATGCTGACTTCTGGCTTCTGATCGTCGCACCGTGGCTACGTAAGCTGTGTCCGTTTGGGAAGTCTGGGTGGAGGCTTGGAGAGGTCTGTGCCGCTCACAACGTTTTTGTAGGTCTGAAGCTATTTCAGGATGGAAAAGTCAAAAAATGTGTTTTCGGCTTTCAAGGTTTTCCTTTTGCTCATCCAAAGAGTATCTGCTCTTGCCATGTCCTCTCGGGAGAGGAACTACTGTATGTGGAGTTCAGGTATGTTGTCGTGAACAGGATCCAGTGGAACGAGTCTGCGCTGCCTAACGTGTGTTTCTAACCCCAGTGCCTCATCCACTATCCAGTTTAGGTTTCCGTAACATGCTTGCCCACTAAATCTTAAGCCCTCAAAGCTCAAGGTGGGGAACTGTG